AAAAAATATTTACAGCAGAAAAGGCGAAGGCGCTGGGTTAAACGTAGTCTCTACTAAGAACACGGAGGGGCGCTTTGACCCAAAATTTTACTATTAAGTTTCATATCTATCTTAATAGAAGATTATTTTCTTTTATCTATGGTTCACAGTTCACAACACAGTTTTTTAGTTTTTAATGCCACTTTTTCACATTTATCACGGATTTGAGTAAATAAAATTTAAATTAACTAACCTACAAGATAGCAATAATTACTTTGAGAATTGACGCTTTAAGCACTTTTCCATCACTTTTCGGTATTTTTTCAATGAGGGTGGTTTAAATTTTAAATAATTTTTGAAGATTCTGACTTTGACAAGAGAAAATTATTTCTGTTATTGTTTGGGCAGTGATCTTAGCAACCGCTATATGCTTTAAATCAGATCATGCAACGACCCAAAAAATTATATATTTTCACGGGCTTTCCAATCTATTTCCTTTATGTATGACATGTTTCTGGACTAAAATATGTCAAAATCTGACACAATTCTTCTGTATATTACTTTGAATAAGAAGACTAAGGAAGGAGCATAATGCTATCCATGTATTCATGCATGGTGGGCGGAAAAAGCGCCATAAAAGCACTCTAGGGTGGGGATCCTTGACAGTTCTGTTTGACGATTCATTTGACACATTTGAATTTGATTTGAAATTTTGTAGATTTGCCAGTCTTTGGAGCTTATTTTATGTTATTATTTATTCTACTACTGATAGTTGTATAAAAGGTAGTAAATCTAGAGGAAATTGTGGCAGAACTTAAATTAACAGTAACACTATCGCGATTTATCGAAAAAGATTCTAAAATAGTTGGTTGTGTAGCGTGCGGTAGATCTCGGCAAAAATTGAGTGAAATAATGGAACAACTTTTCGCTAGTAAGTGAATATATAATATACATACGTGTAGTAAACCGATCATTTATGAAATTCACTTAAATTAACTAAATTATATATTTTTCTTGCATTTTAGCTTTTATTTATTACTTGTCAAAGATTAGATGTCAAAGAATTTAGATACGTTAATTTGACTTACCTGCTTCAGTAGCGTATCGGATGTTTGTGTTAATACTTATTATAACTTATCTATTTTTATTAGAATTATATATTTTTATAACAATTTTAATAACTACCAACATTTATTCACAACGTAAAATAAAACAACAAATTATTGAGTCTACCCCACAACCTACATCATAGTTTTTACATTTTTTAAATAAAATTAGAACGACACTGATAAACCGGAATTTAAGTCGGCCATATTTGAGGCCCATCGCGGTGTACCTAAGATTTTTGATATGCTCCTTCCTTAGTCTTCTTATTCAAAGGTAGGTATATTAAAATCCATGAATAGATATAGTACGAACTGTGAATTTTGGTATATTAAAATCCATGAATAGATATAGTACGAACTGTGAATTTTTCACTGATATTTAAAAATCACATATCACGATCGTTACTTTTTTTTGCGAAGAAAGCGTGAATTTATATGTAATTTTCACACTATGCAAACGAACAAAAAGTCGACAGACTTGTTTATCCGTTAAGTACTTAATATAACATAAACAAAATGGAAATACCGATACCGATTACCATTGCCGGCCGCCTCGCTTTCGTTTAATATCGCTATTTTTAAAACTATAAACGGTGATGGTACATTTTAGGTACGTCGTCAATCTTGAAGTTATTGATGTAAATTTGATATTAATATATTCTACAATTAATGTTTTAACGTTTCAACGTTTTAAGTACGGATCGTACGAATACTCGGCTAAATCTTTGAGATTTGAGATAACTGCAATAAAATTATTTATTTTTTGAGGTTAGAAAAACAATTATTCTTAAATAAACAAAACAAACCCGCGACCTTGTAACCCGGCATGTCGCCGATAATAAATGCAACTTGACTGAATACTGGATAAATGATTAAATGAATCAAACCCAAACTTGTTTGTCTCAAATCTAAAAAAAAGTATAAATAAACACGTGAGTATTACGCCTTAACTGGGAACGAGGCAACGGGGACGGAGCGACAAGACTTGTTATTGTTATTGAAACTGTGATCACATCACGTTTAAAAATCACTGATACTAAAAAATCACAGTAACAAATAACAGTGTGATTAAAAAATTACGATATCGCTCATCTCTAATATATCGCAAATTATTGGTTGAAAGATTATGGCGCGCAGTTTAAATTTCACAAGACAAGTTACCGAACTTGTGTGCGAAGTGACAAGTTGGGCCTATTGTTGGCTATGCGGGCTCAATTTATCCCTGCGAATTTCCTTATGTCATGGTCCCATCTCAGGTTCAGTCTTCTTCTAGGTCTCTTAATTCCTCGTGAGTACAATGCTGTAATTTCTGTGGTCCATTTGATGTTCGAATCTGTGGCGAATGACATCTATTACCTGGGTCTTTTGTCGTATCCACACTATCCACTCTATTCTTTTACGGTCTTTGTTGGTTATTCTAAATATCTTCTTTTTCTATCATCTTATAATAGTTAAAGAATCTCATACCGTATATTCCTCAGAACTATTAAATGTAATTAATATCCTCATAAATATCAATACCTAACATTAGTTAATAATTATTGCTCAAAACTAGGAAGCAAACTATTATAAATCGTGATTATTTCAATAATGAATTTCAAGGATACGGTTGTATTAAAACTTAAAAAGGGAAAGTATTCTTTATGAACGTTTTATTAATGCATTAAATATGCTTTTAGGCTTTGAGATTACATCACCATAAAGTACATTCATTCATTCTGTAACAATGCAGGTAATTTTTAAATATAAAATTTACTCATAAATTAATAATAATACATACGGAGCGACCAAAAATGATTGAATAGTTGTCTATTCTGATTTTGCTAGTTTTGTTGGCAATAAAATTAAAAAAATTGAATATTTATCGGCTGCTTTGATTAATAATGCTATCCATGTAGTCATGTATGGTAGACGGAGATGGGGCCCTAGGGTGGGGATCCTTGACAGTTCTTTTTGACGATTCATAGGACCCATTTGAGTATGATTTGAAATGTTATGTATTATTTATCCTAAAACTGCAAGTTGTTTAGAGGTAGTAAATATAGAAGAAAATTCTGTATCAGAACTTAAATTAACAGTGACACTATTGCGATTTATCGAAAAAGACTGTAAAATAGTTGGTTGTGTAGCGTGCGGTAGATATCGGTCAAAAATCGAGAAATATAATGGAATAACTTTTCACTAATGGACAATATTATAATATACATACGTGGAGTAAACCGATCATTTATGAAATTCACTTAAAATTAACCAATTATATATTTTTTCTTGCATTTTCATTTTTATTTACTACTTGTCAAAGATTAGATGTCAAAGAATTTAGATACGTCAATTCGTGGCTAACGTCATATTCAAGGCCTGACTGTTTTGACAGTTCTACCGAAGTGGTCGAGAATTAGTAGTCGTAAACAAACCTATTGTTTTCATTAGTTTCGCAACAAATCTGTGTTTTTTTACGCGTTTCTATGCTAATAAAATTATACTAAATAATTTTGAGTGCACTCTGAGTGAATAGTGAACTATCTAGATCCGATTCATAACATCGTACCCGCGAAAAAAATCATACTTTCGGTAAAAATTATAGTAACACCGGCGATGCGGGCTGTGTGTCCGGGCTAGGAAAAAGTTGGGGAATTTATATAAAAACATAATTAATAGCGTTAGTGTTAGCGTATAGTGTTAAACCAACGTAAGTGACGTGTATTTTTAGGTAAAACAGTTTTCGTTTCTTTATTTTTTCTTTGTGAAATAAAAAATGCCGCGACATTGTTCTGTGCCTGTGTCTTGTAGCAGCAATTATAATAAGTATTCAGGATCTGTCTACATTCTCTTTCCCAACAATATTAACTGTAACTAGGACACGTCCAAAACCTACAGAAGATGCTGTGCCACAATTTTTCCAAATCAACCCTCTTATATGACTGTGCATGTTCCCAAACATCCCGATGAAAGAAAACAAGATTTGGAAATTCAGGATGAAATAAATATTGAAAATTATTATTATTATTATGAAATATATATTATTATTATGAAATGGTAATATATTTTAAAGAAATTAAATGAATTGTACTTTATTTCAGTATTTTATGTAAAAAAAAATGGTATCTTTATCTTTTTATTTACGATATATGGAGATGGTTACTTGATGAACATCGAACTACAAATTACTAAATGATAATAGTTAATTCTACCTGATATCCATATTTTTTAAATATATTAGGCAAATTTTTACAATTATTTTTAATTAAACTTTAAAATGTATTCTACCCTTATCATATACAATTCATTTTCTTAACTAAAGTATAGTTTTCAAATTTTTTAATATTTGGAAACTTTATCACAAGGTATATTATTAGTAGTTGATAAATACTCGCTAACGCAATTTTAGGACATGCTTTTTATTATCTGGATTTTACTCTGTTCATCTTATGCTGTTGTTTATTTTATATTAATATTCGTGTTTTAGATCTAAATTTCAATGCTATTCAATTACTTTAACGCGATAAAAAGTTAATGTTATTTTTTAATACCTTTGTGTATATTTTTCATATTTATATCTGGCAAAACTATCAATAAATACTATTATTTATGCAAAAACTATATGCAGTACCATATGGCACAATACAAAAGGCCCGACTATTGCGGTGACGTCACAAATCGATGTCTCTGTCTCAGGCCTGTATCTCATGTTGGTTATGGTCAATTTGATCTACTTGCTTCAGTAGCGTATCGGATGTTTGTGTTAATAAATAATTATTATAACTTTTTTATTAGAATTATATATTTTATAACAATTTTAAAAACTACCAACAATTATTGACAACGTAAAATAAAACTTGTTGAGAACGTGGAAACACCTCCGTACATGAGTACTTCAAAAGATTGTACGATAAGAAGAAATCAATTAAACACTCACCTGTGGTGTTAGTGTTAGTGCTTCCCCATACCCCATTGTGTGTATTGGAATCACATCTCAGTAACACAAGTACTCGACGTTGACTGCAATATAGCACGAGCTCCTGTACCTCCGCAGGCTAACAAATTCTCGGGTTGTAAATTCTGAAACACATGTAAAATTAATATTGTTTCTTATAAGAATACAGGCTCTGGGAAATTCCTGCCTGTCATTCCAGCATATATTACCATTGAATTTTTTCCAGATAAACCTTTAATTTGTCCCTGATACATCCATTGTTCCTGGACTAGTTCCATTGCATATTGATTCTTCCCAGAGTCTTGTGATTGTGGCGGAAGACCCTTTTGCGTGATGCAGGTTTACTTTGGATCCCAAGAAAGTTATATTGCTCTGGAGATGTTTCAAGACCCTTACTAGAGGAAGTTGTAGCTTGTATTTGCCACTTGTGGAGGCTGGTCTCGCGCAAATGTCAGTCCTGTAGTTCCCTTTGGGATTGGTCCCTTGGTACACGCTTTAATAATTTTCCCAGTGTTGCCAAGAGGTTTCCCTCTAGCTCCACCAATGGTGTTTTTCTTTCTTGAGCCCATAGTGTGTTTCCAAGAGTCGCTAGTGTTAGTAGGTCCACTTCTACAGGCCCTCGTGTAGTAGTAAGGAGTAATTACAATTGTGTCCCCAGCTGTACCAAGGTTGAGACCAGTAATGGCTAGTCTACTATCTAGCCACGTACCCCTTTGACCTGGTCCCACCATCGTGGGATTTAGGTTTTTGGTGAGGTCTCCTCCTTGGTCCTGGCACAGACAGAGGACGCCTGGTTATAATACGTCTTAGTGCATGGCCACGACACGCGGCGACACGCAAGCTAATAAGGACAAGACGGTGAGATGCTCCTTGGACCCAGCGAAAGTGCCAAAGGCACCGGACTGGGAGCTCCCCCACCAACGACAAGGTCTCGCATCTCTTAGGGGGAGAAAATAGGTAATAAATACACTCGATAACTTAATCTAAAACATTTTATTTTATTTTACACAAATCACAAAAAAAACAATACAATATTGCATTTCATCTATCATACATTAATCCAAAGTATGTACTAAAATAGTTAGTCAGTACTAAAGAAGATCAGTGACTGTACTATTTTCATTATCTAACATCTATTTTATTTATATCTACCTTTTTTATTCGCTACGTATATATTTTTTGTATTATTATATTCTTCTATAAAGATATACATCTTTAAAAAATTGAAAAAAGTTGTCAAATAATAGTACACAGTATCTTTTTAGTTTTCCTTGTTTTAATGTGTTTGGAATTTCATGTAGAATTCAAAAATCAATAAAATATTCAGGGTGTTCTATTTAAACAATGACAAAAGAATACAAGGACCAATAACATCCACTGCCGTGTTACATATTTTTCTTAACTTAGCTATTTGAAGAGATATTTATATTTTTGATAGATGTTTTGACTACGCCTATGGTTTGGTGTATGCCGCTTATTTAGGTTGTATAATACTAAAATAAACGTATTAAAATGTTAACAAAAGGTACAAAACTAGTGTCGACGTATAGCACATATCAAGTATGTACAGGGTGGTCGAAATTGGTCTGTTTTAACAGAGAAAACCTATTTCCTGAGTAGATAGAGCAAAACCAACATAGATGTCATGGACTCGATTTCTGAGATACATTTAATGGCGTAAACCGTCTGTTGATATTTTCACTGCCAACGAGGCGGCAGTGAGTTACGAGGTCTTTTTGAATTTTTCACCATTTGGAAAATTGCCCATAACTTTTGTATTTCGCGGAATAATAAAATTCTGTAAAAAGGTTCTCAAGGCACTTTTTTAAGCACAATCCAGTGGCGTAGACAGTTTTTCTCTATACATGCTCTTTTTAACAGAAATAATAAAAAATATAATTTTTAAATAAAAATCATAGTTAGCTATGAACTTAAAAAAATGGTGGCGTTTAACCCTTTCCAATGCTATAAAGTTATGTGTATTTATTTCTAAGAATGAGAGAAATATTAGGTTTTTTATCTTTGTATCGAAGCGGGCCTTGATTTTGTGTTGACCTAGTTGCCTAATTATTTTTTATCACAATTTAATATTCAATATTATTATTTATCTGCATAATTTAAAACTTTTGAAAAGGTAAATCAACATTCTATATTAGCATTACCAATTACAATTAAAACGCCAGGGTTACAACTAACTATTAAATGGTGAATTTAGAGAGAATTGGGTTGGAACAAGTAATAATAAATACAAGTTAGTTGGGGCCCATATCTCTCATGGCCTGCTAGGTCCTGTGATTTAACTCCTTTTGACTTTTTTATGGGGGAAATTACACCTGTACATACAATATCAGAAAAATAATTATCAAAATCAATAGGAAAACGCTGAAAAGGTGGAGTGAACTGTTTATTTACCTATAAAACATAACTCCTGGTTATTTCTTATCGCGGTTTTTACACTTGAAAGCTGAACAAATCACCATTGTAATAAAGTTTCTACAATGTTCACTACTCACAACAAACTATTAAAAAATCGCTAAAATTATCGCTAGTGACACATTCGTTCCTCCAAAAAAATGGCGTCTAACAACACAAATTCTACTTCAACCCTATGGGCGTTAATTGTCCTTGTATGCTTTAATCACTTAATTTAAAGACAAAAAAACCCAAATTCTTGCAAATTTAAATATAAAAAAAGGAAAACTTAAGATATAGTCTGTGAAACGAATAACTTTGAATTTGACAGTTCCCGCGGGCTTTTCTAGTGTAAATTTTATTAGGTTAGCAACTTGCGCCCATGCTGATGCAATGCCGTCTCTAATAGAACAGCCTCCGAGCGAGATTATGACGTCACGCTAGTTAGATACTACGGATTAATTATGTTGTAGAATACATGGAAAACATAATTGTTCCTCGTATATGTAATTTTTTGGATTATATTCGACACTATTTTTTTCATATGACACAACACTGATAAAGGCTATAAACGTTAGCTATAACGTTTTTTAAAGGAAAAAAATAATGACAAAAACTTAATCAGCGTTTTCCCGAACCTAAATCCCAAGAAATCAAAATTTTAGAATAACCTATAATATATATATATATATATATAATATATATATATATATATATATATATATATATATATATATATATATATATATATATATATATATATATATATATATATATATATATATATATATATATATATATATATATATATATTTAGGTTCGGGAAAAACGCTGATTAAGTTTTCATTTGGTTTGTCATTATTTTCTAACGCTGTATATATATATATATATATATACAGCGATCTTTATTTCATAGCCATCGCTGACGCTGATGATATTGTATTATTTGCAAATATAATTTTTCGAACATTGATGCTTGCAAAATATACATATAAATTTTCTGAATGGACATAATAATATATCACTATTAGTAGATATTGAATGTTTTTTGTTGAATTAGACTGATTTTCAAACCCCAAAATTTAGAATATATTTTACATTTTACCCATTATCATATGTACCTATTCATTATTTGTATATTGTAAAACATTTGCTGCATTTGTATGGTTCATAGTTTATTTGCCAAAGCAAATATTACTATAAATAGGTATATATATATATATATATATATATATATATATATATTGTATTTATTAACTGTATATTATGTATATTTCATGTAAACTATATCATTTTTAAAATACAAACCAAAAATACAAGGAATAATTATATTTTCCATGTATTTTACAACATATTTATTAAACCGTGGTATCTAACTAGCGTGACGTCATAAATCTCGCTCCGAGGCTGTTCTATTAGAGACGGCATTGGTCTGATATTTAGAAATGTCAAAGGCTGATGACATTTTACTTTTGTCAGTCATGACATATCGCGTTGATTTTTGCCAGAAGAGGAAGAACTGTCACTTGTTTTATTTTCTTTTTCTATTTCACAAAAGTAAAAAGAGTTACCTATCTGATTCGTTCAGGCACTCATTTTAAAGAATATCAGTAACTTTTTGAATAGAGAGATTTTATATTTGCCATGTTGGTAAAAAATAACGGTCAAAATTCAAAGTTATTCATTTTATAGACTATACACCTACTTGTTAAGGTCTGTATAATATCAAAGCGTCTATATAGCTTAAAGAATATAAAAAAGAACAAATTTTATATTATTTAAGCTGTTTTAACCACAGAAAAAATGTCATTTCGATAATAAATAGTATAACGTAGTGGAATGTATGATTGATTAATATTAACCCTCTACTAGTACGTTAAAAAGGCATTCTCCTTAACCTAAAAAATTAGTTTAAAATCTCAGAAGGCGTCTAGTATCTATCTACCTAAGTTATGTTTGTTCAAAACTTAAACGCCTTTAGTTATATATCTATTTTATTATACAAATAATTTAAAATAAACTACAGTTTATTCAGGGCCAGGATGCACCGAACGTCAACAAATACATCAAGTATGACCGTTAATAGTAATATCAGAGTTATATTATATTACTGTAATATTAATACATCATACAATCGAAAAAAAAGGCGTCAAAGACGGCTGGGAAATGACAAACGATGATAGTTTTGGCGACATCAATCTCTAGACGTCAGAGTTACTAAAAATTGACATAAGACTTGTCAAAAATTAACACTAATTATAGGCTTGGTGCATTTCAGTTGATTTCAACAACTTCCGACCGCAGCGCTTCAACGGCAGAAATTAGAAATTATCAGTACATATTTTATGCCGCCGTCCACAGTTCGTGTTGATCGCATTAAAATAATATTGAAATTATAAAAAGTATTTTAGTTTTTTGCTAGTGCAGTTATTGAAACTATAAAACACTCAGGTACAAGGTTTTTGTGATGTAACGCTGTTTCGGGTAGTAAAAAATAAGTGAAAAAGAATTCGAACTAGGCGTCAAGTTGTGTTGTGAGAATTTCAAATGTTAATAAAATTGCGTAAAATAAAAAGCGTAATTAGCGTAATTAGGGCGTTATTGAATGCAATAACATTCAATAACTCAACTTTCCCGGATATTCAACTCTCCAGAAACAACATTTTATAGCTTCATAGATTCTCACACCTATTTGATAAAAAACAAAAATGGATTCAAGCAGTTCGACGAAACAAGTGAGTAAACAAAGTGCTCGTTACTCAAACAATTAAATGGACATATATTATGAGAGGATAAAATATAATTTGCAATATTAATATTAATGGTATACTTTTTTTAATCAACTAGTGTATAATAAAAATAGTTAAATAATATTATATACCTAAAATATAAAAATAAATTACAACCTTCTTAAAGCCACCTAGCAATAAGCGCCATTAAGAAATAAAAAAGATTACGGGCTAAATAAATGACGTCTAGGGCTTGACCTCGCCAAAATTATCATCGATTGTCATTCCCCAGCCGTCTTTGACACCGTTTTTTTTTCGATCATATGGTATTTATATGCGTTTGGTGTATCTTTGAGCTGAATAAACTATAGAAGGTCCTTTAAAAACAAACATTGTTTCTAAATATTTTAAAGGCATATTAAATTCTTAAAATATAACGTATCTATTTCCATGAAATATTTTTTTAGTAGAGTTTACTTGTCAAAAAGGCACAGACTTTTAAAGGCAACAATTTTGGACGGAAATGAGAGTTATTATTTTTCTTTTAAGTTAAACACTTCGTGGATAAATCTATGCCGTAAGTTATTACAAAAACTTTGTTTTCATGAGTATACGACATACATTTTTCTACTCATCTCTTTTTACTCACATTTTCTGTGTGAGAGCTATTTTTGTTCAAAGATCGTACAACGTTACGTCATGTATTGTCGCGCTCTCTCTTTCACTTGACAACCAGATGAAACAGATTGGTGACGTCATTACGGCGTTTCGTAAATTACTGCGCGTTGTTTTTGGTATTTGTCATTGTCACTTGATTTGGGGTTATAGTTTTATTAGCGGACATTGATCAATGTCAAAATTAAAATTTGACTGTTGCTGTAAAACAAAATTCAATTTTTTTATTACAAAAATGCATCATAGATTTAACGAAAATGAACAAGGGCTAATTGCTAAGCTTAGAAATTATTTTTATCAAGAAAGTGACGCTGGAAGATGGTACCACAGATTATAAACTTTGTTTTTTCTTTATTGTTTTTCATGGTTCCAATTTTCAGAATCGGGTCACTAGTTAGGTTATTAGTTTGTGCACATAGCATGCTCACTTATGGCCTCTAAAATTGTGCACAGCGCCTGACCGACCCAGTTATTAGAGAGATATCGGAAAACCGAATAGCGTCATGCAGTATTTACGCGTACCTTATTTTGACAGTTACGATATGCGCGAGTCAAATTTTAACTCAACGCCCGCTAATAACATTACCGCCTGACGTAATTTGCGGATCAATTACACCAAGCGCTATTTTCTATTCTCTGGCTATTTCTAAATAACGTTTAAAAATTGCTTAAATGGGCATGTGCGGGTATTTGACAACCGGGGCCAGCCGGCGAGATCTTTTATTTTAGGTTATGTTTGAACTGTTTTGAGTTATTACTTTAGTTTTATTAGGAAATTTGATATTTAAGTAGCTGGGATTAGTTTTAATTAAATAAATATGACCCAAAATATGGATTCCATCTCTTCCAATATTAAAGAACCTATAAAGAGGCTTAGGTTTACAGCAGATGACGACTTAGCCCTTCTAAGAGAATTTGTTGCCCTAAACCCACTGGCAGACGTTGAATAATAAAGCACTCGAAATAAGCACTTTAGCCCTTTAGTTTTAAAATACCTAGTAAACAAAACAATTTCAAAGTTAGGTTAAGTTTAAATAGCGGACGCGACGCGAACAGAATTCTTTCCGATCCGATAACTATAAATGAAGAGAGTTAATACCACCTCACGTAAAGGAAATAACACCTGGCGATATTAACGTCCATGCACGCTATTCGGTTTACCGATATCTCTCTATTACGCTGTTATTGTTATTTTACTCATCGTCATAAAAAACAATTTTCGTACCACGAATTAGTTAAAAATGCATATTTGACAAATAATGACGTAACGTTGAACGATCGCTGGACAGACTGTATTGAATGCCATATATTAATAAATATTTATAGTAAGAATCTTATATCTTTTGGTACTCTTACTGCATGATATTATAAACATACTTATATAACTAATTTCTAACTTGTTCTTGAAGAAAAAATATTCTAAAAATCTACTTGGTAGGTAAAATAGCTGCGATAAGAAATATCAAATAATAAATATACATCTTAACATCTGTAAAGTATAAAAATTAATTAATTATATCTATAGGCAATTAATTATTCTCTTTTTATATTAGAAAAAAATACACATCTCAAATAAAATATAAATAAAACAAAAATAATAAAAATATTTCTATAAAAATGGGGTAAATATGTATAAAGTAAATAAAATATATATTAAACTATATAAGAGATTCTATACGTAAATAGATTGCACACAATATATACCATAACACGATAGAAAAAAACGGCGTCAGGGATGGCTTGCAAATTATGTTTTTGTAATTTTCAAGCCTACTCGACGCCGTTTTTTTTATGTAAGGTATATTTTAGGTATCCACATATTTAAATATAATGAGAATTGTCAGTATATACATACATATATTTAATTTTTTTTGTCAATTACAAAATCCTGATTACCATTAGTGCAATTATGTTTAAATTCGTAATTTAAAATAAGATTTTTTTTTGTAAAGTTTTGGTTATACCAGGGAAATTTAAATATACAGGATGTCCCAAATACGAGGAATTAATAAATATTTTTTTTTCCAAATACTTCAGAAGATATTGCAATATGGCGCAAATTTGCCATAATCTGACCTACCTCGTATCTCTTATGGTTTCCGAGATACCAGTGATTAAATACTCGTATACCCTCGAATAACTTGGGACACCCTGTATAAATAAAGAGCTTATGTTTAATTCCTCAACATTATAGTAATTCTTGATAAAAATCACTTTGTAATTATTTTTTTAGGAATCAAGTTTTGCACTGGGACAATATACAGAGTGATCCATAACAAATTAAGACATGAAATAGATTTTCTATTTATGTCCGTATGTGTTATGTCCTACATAAACACATTTAACTATGCAGTGTTTATGTTATTCGCTACAATTTCTATAAAAATCTATTATAATCTCTACCAGATCATTCCGTATTCTTTCATCCGTAGCCTCGCATAGATTCTGAAAAAAAAAATTAATAAATAAAAATCCGGCAAAGTAAAGTAAGAAAACTGTAATGGGGGCCATACACATATGATTGAAAAAAAAAACTAAAAACTCACCTCAGCATTGGCACCTCCCACAACTCGATATATCAGTGTCTGTTCACGACAATCTGCCATATAAACTTCATACTTTGCACTCCATACGTATCGACTTTTAGTAAATTCAATTTCTTTGGAATTTTTCGAACAACACTGTATACCAACTGGAGTGTGGAAGCTAGTGACAGAACAACAGTGTGAGCATACAGTTTATTTCAATAAAACTGACGATTCAAGATCAATACTACTTATTTGAGATATTTGAAAAAGAAGACTAAGGAAGGAGCATATCAAAAATCTTAGGTACACCGCGATGGGCCTCAAATATGGCCGACTTAAATTCCGGTTTATCAGTGTCGTTCTAATTTTATTTAAAAAATGTAAAACTATGATGTAGGGTAGACGTGGGGTAGACTCAATAATTTGTTGTTTTATTTTACGTTGTGAATAAATGTTGGTAGTTATTAAAATTGTTATAAAAATATATAATTCTAATAAAAATAGATAAGTTATAATAAGTATTTATTAACACAAACATCCGATACGCTACTGAAGCAGGTAAGTCAAATTAACGTATCTAAATTCTTTGACATCTAATCTTTGACAAGTAATAAATAAAAGCTAAAATGCAAGAAAAATATATAATTTAGTTAATTTAAGTGAATCATAAATGATCGGTTTACTACACGTATGTATATTATATAGTCACTTACTAGCGAAAAGTTGTTCCATTATTTCACTCAATTTTTGCCGAGATCTACCGCACGTTACACAATAATATAGTGTCACTGTTAATTTAAGTTCTGCCACAATTTCCATCTAGATTTACTACCTTTATACAACAATCAGTAGTAGAATAATTAATAAATAACATAACATAAGCTCCGTAAAGACTGACAAATCCACAAAATTTCAAATCAAATTCAAATGTGTCAAATGAATCGTCAAACAGAACTGTCAAGGATCCCCACCCTAGAGAGCTTTTATGGTGGCTTTTCCGCCCACCATGCATGAATACATGGATAGCATTATGCTCCTTCCTTAGTCTTCTTATTCAAAGGTTTTAGGTAACCACATCCCTTGAATAACTTACGGAACAATTCAGGAAATACGTGAAAACGAAATGGCGTCGAAAATGATGACGTAACAGTCGGATGCAAAAACAAGGCGTAATTATTTACACGCCAATATACCGGGTGTTATTCAAATGCGGCTCACCCCCTATACATTTTTTATTTTTTCAGATAAAAAACAAGATTTAGTATGTGATATAAATTGGGATTGTGGTTGACGTCTTCAAATAGTTATCAATCAAAAATATCAAATAGTAGTTAGTACTACTAGTTTCTTTCACTTCCTGTTTCACCGGAAATTATTATAACTACTGATTTATAGATGAAAATTATAAAATTTAAAGTTTCTTCTACCTAATCCAGGGTTGTGATTTACTGAAGGTACATATTGACCTTGAATCGTTGCGTCATCTCTCTTGTAACGAATTGTACATTTTTACCTACCTGAATGTAATGTTCAAAAATTCGTCGGGCATGTACTTTGAAATGGGGACTTTGTACGAATAATTGAATAGCTCCTTGGTTTGAATCCGATAATTGGGTGTCAAAGTTGAATTAAAATTCTTTCCTTGAATTGTGATCACAAAAGATTCACGTTCATCTACAAATGTAGTATAAAAAATATATTTTAAGACAATGCGTGTGTTAAAAAATAGGTAAAATACGTTTTAATAGACGATGAAAGTCCGAAATTCTTTTAGTTTCAAGTTAAGATACTTACGCACTTATGTCAAAAATACCCTGTATATCACATTTTATTATTTATTACCTTGTGGTATATTATATGATGACTGAATACTCGGATCATACGTGTTATCATCTGTACTCCTTTTGGTACGAATTGTTCTGTCCAGGTAATTGGATATTTGATTTTCTGTCTGAGAATTTGGCTGTTCTTTTTGCGTATAAACACCCTGTGTTCTGTCAAACGATGACACGTGATTAGGGCAGCAATGTATCTAAAAACAAAATAATATACAGGGTGTCCCAAAATTCCGTGGACATAAAACTAATAATAACTTTAAAAAAATAATCATATTTTTTCACATATTATAAGAACCGTTATTGCGATTTGAATGAGATTTTAGGTGTCTATATTTTGCTAAGTGCTTTAACATACCACCGCGCATACTTTTTGAGAAAGAAAGATATTTTTTCCGAAGCTGACTTCTAAAAAATGTTTTTTGTCACAACAAGCTATAAAGGCGTATAAAATCTATTATGCTCTAATAATCTACAGTTAAGGGTTGGAACCTTTGGTGTTACACAGCAAAATAAAACACTAAATCACCACAATACACCAAAACACTTTTACTTTTACACTGGACGCGCGTTTCGCTAACCATGTTAGCATCATCAGCAGATGATTATAAACTAAAATACAATCTACAATAGGAAGTGGAGGCTAAGAGTCAGTTTGAGTATTTTCCAAGCGTATGGTTTAGGTATGTGGATATTTTTGCTGTTTTTGACACACATTCAGACACCATAGATTTACCATGGTATTTCTAAGTTAAATAATCGTTTTCCTTCCATTAAATTTACACATGAAATTGAGAACAACGACAGATTACCATTTCTAGATGTATTAGTTATTAGAAATACTAATAGTTGCCTGGAATTTGATATCTATAGGAAAAATACCACCACACGCAGATATATTCCTAATGAATCACATCATAGTGTTGAACATAAAATGGCTAGTTTAAATTTCTTAGTTCATAGATTACTTAGTTTCCCACTTTCCAACGAAAGATATGAAATAGAAAGAGATTACATTAGGAATGTAGCTGAGTGTAATGGATATTCTCCTTCACTAGTTGATAAATTAATTAGAAAACGTAGATATAGGTTAATGATTTCTGAAAATTCGACTTTTCAAGTGGAGAAAGATACGTCTAAATATTTTTCAATACCGTTTGATAGAGAGTTATCCCGTGGTCTAAAAGGAATTTTTAAGAATGTCAATTATAAACTTGTGTATAGCGCTAATAATTAATTACAACAATTATTAGGTAATCCAAAGGATAAAACAAAGGTATTTATGAAATTTCTTGTAAAGATTGTAATAAAAAATATGTTGGGCAAACTAGAAGATCAATATTAACTAGATTTAAAGAACATTTAGCTCAGATAAGATATGGTAGACCTGATATATCTTGCGTTGCCGAACATATTGTTGATAAAGAACACTGTATAGATCTTAATAACTTAAAATTACTTAAACAAGTCTCAAAATTACAGGCAATTAGATGCATATGAAACCATCAGGATTAATAAATGTAAAGATAGTATGAACAGAGACAACGATCCAATTCCTTCAAGTTCTTTGTTCCTACTACTCTAGTGGCGGAAATCTAACTGTTACCCTCGGTGGGTTCTGACTCGGTTGGCTAGATCTTGCCACGCCCACTCTGTGCCCACTGAGCGAGTATATAAACGCTCCAATTGTAGATTGTATTTTAGTTTATAATCATCTGCTGATGATGCTAACATGGTTAGCGAAACGCGCGTCCAGTGTGAAAGTAAAAGTGTTTTGGTGTATTGTGGTGATTTAGTGTTTTATTTTGCTCTAATAATCTAGTTGACGAAAATATGGAGTTTAATGTTAATATCGCAAATCATATTTGACAAGAAGTTTCATAAAAAACTTTATTTATTTTTGATAGATGCCCTCTAACGGAAAAACCAAGCACTTTTGTATAAAGATAAATTATGTGTAATTAACTTATTTTGATTCAAAAAATACGTAGTTGTTCTATGTCCACGGAATATTGAAACTCCCAGTATATTTTGTAGGTCTGCTTTGGAAAACTAAATTCTCTAAAAAAATTTTATCAAAAACTGCGATGTGGCGTTTTTTTACAAGCGACGAAAAATCTAGTAAATACTAGAGGGACCATTTTACAAAAAGAAAATCTGTCGTCGGTGAAGTTGGAAAATATTTATACTAAAATGTATGTCGGGAAAGGGGTAGTTTTTACTCTTCCTGTACTTTCCGAATAGGGACGAATGGAATAAGCCGAAAAACGGATTATTACATGCGGAAATGTGTTAGTACACGGACGGATCCAAAAACGAAAAAGGATCTGGCGCAGGAATTTACAGCAGCAGTCCAAAGACTGAGATCTACCACAGTCTTGGAAAATATACCACAATTTTCCAAGCTGAGCTATATGTTATTGAAACCTGTGTGCAACTGCTGGTAGAACAACAATTCACCGGGAAAACAATATGCATATTTTCGGATAGTCAATCCGCGCCGAAAGCACTTGAGGCAACGAAAAGCACGTCTATGACGATTCTTCATTGTAAGAAACTACTCAATATTTGGCAAACCCATGCTAGACCTATCAGACCTAGGACACATATCACCCTCGGACATAACGGCCTATGTTAAAAGGCTGGGTCTTGAGGGTGAACTTTAACGCTCTTTGTATATTAAAGAGCTTGTAGAAACTGAGCCACAATAAGCCCTCGCGGCCACAGTTAGTCAATACGATACAATACTTTTTCTTGATTTTTGTAAAAGTCAAATGTTAAAGCACTTAGCAAAACACAGACACCCAAAATCTCATTCAAATCGGAATAACGGTTCTTAAAATATCTGAAAAAATGTGCTCATATTTTAAGTTTGATGCCCTCTAGCGGACAAATGAAGCACTTTTATATAGAGGTAATTTGTGTCCAATGAACTTATTTTAATTTTAAAAATACGTAGTAGTTCTATGTCCACGGAATATTGGGACACCCGGTATAGGCAAAACAAAAAAAAACAAGAAAAAACACTAATAAAAAAAAATTAAAATATTAAAAATAAAATTACCGGACATAAATTCTCCAAATGCTGGTCAACAGCATTACATTCACTAGATTTTCCTATAGAGTAAAGTTGAGATTTCATAGGATTAAATTGAGTATTATCCGACATTTCTGAAAAAATAAAAATCAGTAACAACGATAAAATAGTACCGTATGTATAGTATCGAAAAAAAAAACGGCGTCAAAGACGGCTGGCTAATAACATTTGATGATAATTTTGGCGAGGCCAATCTCTAGTAAATTTTTAGTTACATAAAATATGACAAAAATTAACACTATTTATAGAAGAATTAAAAAAAGATAGAACGTTTCCAGACATACAAATCTATTTCCAAAAAATATTTTTCTGGAATTTAAAGAAACCATTTAAAAATCAATTTTCCTCAATATAAAAATAAAATACAACCAGGCAGTAAGTGCCACTAAAAACAAAGAAGAGTACGGGCCAAGTAATGAAGTCTAGGGCATGACCTCGTCAAAATTATCACCGATTGTCAATCCGCAGCCGTCTCTGACGCCGTTTTTTTTCCATCATACGATATAAAAGTATAGCATACCATTATCTCCAGCAAGAATACTATTCTTCTGATACGAACTAGTGATTAACCGAGGACTAATAGAAGATTTATACTCTAAAGTCGATTTAGTAGTCGTAGATACTGTTTTAGATTTGAAATCGTTTACATTACCGTACGGAGGTCTTTGTTGTTTGGCGTCTAAGAAATACAACGTTGTAATTGCTGCTAAGCTAAAATTTTAAAAAAATATGTCACAATATATTAATTTTACTGTAAAATTAACACGTAAGCTTCATTAAGAACCTCAAAATTAGTTGAATTAATTAGTGGTTTAAATTAAAGGTAAATGTATGTTCCTCTAATTTCAATGTAAGGATTCAGGACGTCAGAATTAGTGGTCGTAATTTTCAATTAGTAGAAAAAGTTAACAAACTTTTAAATTTTTCCAGTAATACTTCAAAATTTACGAGCAATGTCATTTTGGCCTTTGAATATTATCGGTCAAGAGGAAGAAGTACGGACCATTTTTTTTATAAGCTAATTACACAAGTTTACAAATTCGGGTCAACTTTTGGACCCGAGCAGATGAGAACGATTCTTAACGTTATTTGATGCCCTGAACTCAGATCTTCAATCCGTTTGTCAAGATTGGCTCTAGTTTTCGAGTTCGCACACGGCAGTAGCACTGCGCTCTTATAACGGCCCGGGTAGTTGACGCACGGTCGTTTTACTGCCACCTCTTCACATTAAATTTGGCCTTATTAAGAACTTTGTAAAAGCGCTCAATCGCGAAGGACCAGCTTTCCAGTACTTAACCAAGTTGTTTCCAAAACTGTCATACGCAAAAATCAAAGAAGGAATATTTGTCGGACCTGATATTCGAAAACTAATGGCTGACGCAACGTTTACAAAATGTTTAACGCTTGATGAGGCAGCAGCATGGGCATCGTTTCAAAGTGTTCACACCTTTCTCGGTAATCATAAATCACTGGAATACAAGCAAGTAATCGACAATTTGTTGCAAAATTACCACAAGATTGGAGCTCGAATGTCTCTCAAAATACATTTTCTGCATTCACATCTTGATTTTTTTCCACAAAACTTGGGCGACACGAGCGACGAGCAAGGAGAGCGGCTACACCAAGATATAGCGAAAATCGAAAGGCGATACCAAGGATTTTGGGACGAAGGCATGATGAGCGATTATTGTTGGGCCCTAATCCGTGAAACAGATCCCAAGCAGTATAAAAGACTCAGTTCAACCTCTGCTCATTTCTGATTTATATTATTTAATTCAATAAATAACCGTTAACGGTTAAAAATAGTAAAATAATGAATTTATTGAATATTTCGAAAACTAGACCAATCTTAAAAAATGGACTGCTGGTTTGGATTCAGCTCCAAAAATTATCTTAGAAATTGCTTTTAGTTGCTCAGGTCCAAAACCGTGTATACTTGTGTTATTATTAGGCTCTGAGTGTAGAATTAGATGCAAAAAAAACGCAACGGAATTTTTTTTCGTCAAGTTTTAAAGTGTAATATTTTTTTGCTTTTAGCCCTATTTTTATGAATTTTTTTACCTACTGTATATAAATATATCAAATATTCTCCGGGGCCAAGGTGCTGGCGGCGTGGTATGTTGGAGTACCTCCGCAGCGGTTTTTTGGTAGTAACGCTTGCAAATTGTGAGCTACTGCTTAACCAGGTTGCAAATGGTGCCTCGTTTGCTTCCCTTTCTTTTTTTTAGGTTCGCTAGTTCATCGTTGCTGATTCCTCCCGTATTGATGAAGCCGGAAGGCAGAAACACTAAAGGATGATTCACGGTACACCGGACCGTACCCAAGCCGGGCACGTTCCGCGAAGTAGACACCGAGCCACGTCCGGGCCTTCTGTTTATGCAACACCGAGTTGATAACGGGGCTCGTATTACTTCTGAGTATATTATAAAACACAGCCCCATAGACACACGAAGATTTAATACGAACAATGCCAAAGTTCTCGCAAGTGGAATTGGTACCAATTATAGTTAATGAAGAAAGAACAACACCTGCTCAAAGGGGAAGATGAAGGACCTATCTTTTTCATTACATCCTTTCATTGTCCAGTTTTATGCATTCCCCGTCATTAAATACTGCTGTAAGATTCACTACCTACTACAGACATGATAAAAAGTGTACTTTGTTTATACCATGACTGCAGATTGCAGTCGGGGCACCAGGAAAAGTACATATATGCTTTCCGCAACGTGGCGGGAACGAAGCGGATCCGAGAAAAAAATGTACACCGACATTTCTGTGACGGGGCACGGACGAGTTCCGGTGAAGCTCGGATCGTGCTCGGCCTAGCATGAATGTATATGTGTAAATAACACTTGACAATGTTTGGTCGTGTCTTCACCGACGCACGGCTCGGACCCGTCAGGGTATAGCGTGAATCATCCTTAAGTGTCTATGGATAGTCGTATTTTAGCCATGCTTCACGGTTAATCTTACTGTGTGGGTTCTAACGAAAATATTTTCGTTACATTTTTTTTTTATATCGTTTATCCGTTTTTTTATATATTATCGATTTTTTGCGCAACCTCGATAGTGGTACACATCACTAGCGATGGTTGTTAGTTTAAATTGTTTAAATATTTTATATATTTTCTGGTTGCCTATGGGTTACCGATAATAATTTGTTTATTTTTAATGAAAACGAAGGTTTATTATTAATATTTTGTTTAGTGTTAAATAATTAAGATGCAATTGTTACACACACTTTTTGAAGGTATGTAGGAAATTTTATCGTATTAACTTCTGTTCTAATTTAAATTTTTCTTTATTTCTAGTTTTTTTAATCTTACATATTTTTTTTATTCTTTTTACACGTGTCTACAAATTAAATCAAATAATTTACTGTAACAATATGTATTTTTTTTTCAAGTCGTACCGAAGTGATTGTGGTAGTCTGGAATTTTCTAGAGAGAGAGAGCAAAATATTTTTCTTTTATATTTTTTTATAATTTTATATTTATATTCTTTATATTCTTTAAATAATTTGGACAATCTTTTCAATTATAACTTAATTTAAACTGTCATTGCCTATTTTCTTTTTTAAATTTTAATTATAATTTTTATTATAATAATTAGTAGTTGGATTTAGATAGTGATTATTGTTTATTTGAATCACTAATATGTTGTTTAATCATAAGTTATTTTTATTGTACCTTCATTGGCAACCAACAGACAGTTCAATTGTAACGTAATTTAGAACACCACCACAAAACTGGGTACTTATCAATTGTGTTGAGTAGAATACTGCTGTTTGTTATCTTCTAGGAAGATACGAGAATTGACCCTCCCCATAAGTAGCTCACGCACTGAGACTGGTAGAGTCTCACAAGCTCTCCAACGTTAGCCGGACAATCACGCTACCCACCAGCGGACGAGTGCAGCGAAGAGGGTGAGGCCTTTCTCCCAACCAACCGAAGCAGAAACACTTAAGTATTCCAGTTGCATATCTAATCTCATATAATCGAGACTGTCACAGCCAATTACATTGATTGTCTATAATTGTTAATTAAATATAAGTCATTAATGAAATTTTCTATTGTCTTATTTAATTCCAAAGCATACTTCCACAAACCAGTAACTTTTAGAATTTTGTGGGTTATAGGGTTTAATCAATAATTTCATTCTTCTTTTTTATTATAGTCCCCACGATCCACGATAACATCTTTTGTTTATTTATATTTATATACAGTTTGTTAAAAACTCAAGGAAATAGGGCTAAAAATAAAAAAATATAACATTTTAAACATGACGAAAAAGTTTTCCATTGAAGTCTTCTCTGAGTGTATATGGATACAATTGACTACCGCAAGCTGCTGCTAGTATATTCTATTAATTTTAATTAGATATTCTTAACATTGAGAATGATTTAACTCTTAAGCTCTATTACGCTGTACTGTTCGGGTCGCTCTCAGGGGTCGGGTAAAGCGGGTGTGTGGCCGAAGGAAATATATATTATATTTCAGAAATCTGCCTAAGGCTTAGCCTGATCCTGTCGTATTAAGCCACACCAAAAAATTCAAAACACAAATGCATTGATTAAGGCTTGATTAAGGTTTGCAGAGCTTCAGCATTTGCCATAAAATAGCGAGCAATTTGTTACAAAACCATATAAATTATGTATCACTGTAATCACAAAACTTCAATCTATTTCCGTATTGTAACGGAATTTTAAATTATGTCTTTATTTTCGAGAAAATTGAGTCCAAACATAAGGAATATTTTGTTGATGTTTGACCATTAAAATCTTAAAAATAAAGACGTCTAAAAATTTGCTACAATACGGATATAGTATAATTCTTTATCTTTAATTTCCTTCTTCATTTGTGTAAAAATACCTAGCCAGTTTTACATAAAACGTTACATACCGAAATGGACTCTTAAGCATAAAGTATAATTGAGTTCACTAATTCCTTCCACTAATTTCGAGATTCTGCATATTTGAAAACAGAAACAACTTACCAAAAAGCCATGATCAACACTAGAACTACAATAACAATTTGTATGAATTTGTTTGAACAAAACTCGTCCTCTTGACGTTCACAAGCCTTACATATATGCTTTCTTGAACATTTACAGTGCCCAGAGTAATGAGAAAGCTTTGAACTATTTACTGCACACAAATAAACAAACAAACATTTAATAATAACATATATATAAGTGTTATTATACAGGATGAGTGTTAAATAAGTGCACATATTTTTAGGACTGGTAGATTTCATAGAAGAAACATATTTTCTCTTTACCGTTTTTCAAATAAGTCCAAAATAACCAAGTTATTTCACTTTGAAAATTTATAATAATATTTGCTCAAAATTTTGGGAACCACTAGATTTCTTCTACATTTTCGTTTTTCTAAAGATAATCTAATATACAGGGTGTTTCAAAACAAATGCGAAAAACTTCAGGGGGTGATCCCTTGTTCAAAATAAAGGGTAGTTTGCTTCATAAACGTTGGGTCAAAAGTCAACCATTAGGGAGATATCGCGGTACAAAGATAGCGGAAAAATAATGTTTTACGGAAAGAGATAGACTAATGAAATTTTATGGAAGCATTACTGTTATGAAAACACACTTTCTGGTAATTTTTTCACTTTTTTAAAATGAGTGGAAGGGGTTGAAATAAACTACCCCTATCATTCTTATTAACGAAATTTAAAGAAAAATCTTATCAAACACATGCAAGAAAAATAATTTGGATAGTTTAGTTTGTTTAGAAACTTTTTTATCTCCTGTATTTTTTTGATAAAACTCACCGATTTGAAATTAAAAAATAAAATGTAAAGCATTACATGTCAGGACAAAAAACATTTTCTGATCAAGAATCTAGTGAGCTGCTGTAATTTTTTTAGGAAAAAATCTTGTCGGCCGCTGTTACTTTTTAGGATGTTCCTAATATTATTTTATTTGACATTACTCTACTGCAATAAGTTATTATCTAGATGATTATTATTATCGTTATTATCCCTAGATCCTTAATCTAAAAATGTTTTTTGTCCTGACATGTAATGCTTTACATTTTATTTTTTAATTTCAAATCGGTGAGTTTCATCAAAAAAATACAAGAGATAAAAAAGTTTCTAAACAAACTAAACTATCCAAATTAATTTTTTTGCATGTGTTTGAGAAGATTTTTCTTTAAATTTCGTTAACAAGAATGATAGGGGCAGTTTACTTCAATCCCTTCCACTCATTTTAAAAAAATGAAAAAATTACCAGGAAGTGTGTTTTCATAACAGTAATGCTTCCATAAAATTTCATTAGGTATCTCTTTTCGTTTTCAAGATAAAAAATAAAAACATTATTTTTCCGCCATCTTTGTACCGCGATATCTCCCTAATGGTTGACTTTTAACCCAACGTTTATAAAGCAAACTACCCTTTATTTTGAACAAGGAATCACCCCCTGAAGTTTTTCGCATTTGTTTTGAAACACCCTGTATATCTATGTAGCCTATTATCAAGATACTATGTTTTTTAACTGAATTTTTTTTTCGAAAAATACAAAATTTTCATCAAAATTTTTTTTAGATACATATACATATAGAGAAACATATAGATCATACCAAATAAACTTTTAGTCACGTGATTAAGCTTGACCGGTACAGCGTTGCACACTTTCACATATTTTCTTTTAATCAAAATATTTTAGTAAACAAAAATAAATTAATTATTATAAATGTATAAACAGTTATTATTTAGATCAACAAAACTCGATAACAGCACTTAAGGGACATAAAGGCCCATTACTACCGATTTCCCGATCAAATTATTCTAAGAAGGTTGCGATGAGTTTTTTGCAACGGCTATGAAGCTATCCTGTACACTTCGCACTAAAAAAAGTTCTAAAAAGAACAAGGTTCGACTGCAAGGTCTGCTAGTAAACATTTTTAAACTTATGTATCACAACACAATTCATTTAAACCAAAAACTCGTAATATAACGACAAGACAAGACAATGTCAATAAATAAATAAATAAATGTGTCAATTTGTGCCAACAAATGTCAAAAAAAAAATAAAACTTTTTAACATTTTTTGCGCAAAAAAACTCAAGGACATGTTTTTGGGGTGGAACTATACTACCAGTTTAAATACTCGCACTTATTTCTGGGACACCCTGTATGGATTTTATATTTTTAGACATACCTGTGCTGTCAGACTTAAGGCTATCGCCACGCTTTAATTTGTTTAATCGTCTATTTATCCTTTCCAGTTGCCCTATACGGGTTTCCAGATTGTCAGTAACCTTACATAACTCTTTTACCGCTCCTATATTTTCCATAAAAATCCGCTCCTAAAAAAATATTATAGTATACAAGGAGTCTCAGATTTGATTGAGCCCTATTTTACCTTATTGACCACCAAAAAATTATCTATAGACTTTCCGTTTTCTAGAACTATATTGCCGGCAGGTTTAACAGCCTCTGGCAAAACTTGAGCGACTTCTTGAGCAATGACTCCTGTATCTGAGAATTCTTTATCCCTTCTGAGTTGAGATGCCAGAGTAGGTTCATATTCATAGCTAAAAGAACAGAGTTAAAACATACACGATGTCTATTTATACTAAGGGCTGGCAAAGGTTAGTCTTGGGTCGAGATTTCTGCATGTAAGAAGAGTACAATACGTTTATAATGTACTGAACAAAGAGAGAACAGTAAAAACGTTGCCAAACGTATGAAATAAAGCGAGAAACTGTGCACATTGCTAAGAGACGTGGAAGGGGATATAGCAGATTCGTCGCGGTCAACCGGTCGACCCAATCAGTACTTAAAATTCTAGGAAAGTGTGTACATCATGCGTTCAGCTTCACGATTTAGTTCAACTCATGATACTTCACTTGTTCATTAATTAATGAGTCGTATTTTCCCTATAGCTTGTGAATTTTTAAGTGCAAGTTGGAAACTCTTGTACTTTTGGTAAAAATAAGTGGAATTGAGTTGGTGTTCGACAGTGGTCGCGCTATTAGAACTCTGTATTCAAAAATCGATATCTCGAAATCCCTTAGAAAAATCGATTGCAGTTTTTTTCAAAAACTTTTTTAATATTATTTCTGCTATATTTTCTTCGTTTCAATATCTAAAGTAGTTCTTGATTTATCGCGTGTTATGTGTTAAAAAGATAAGTTTTTAAATTATCGCGATTACTAACGTTTTTTCGTTATACAAAATGGATACCCTAACGAACTTATAATTCTATTTCAGATGCTCAGAAACATATATAATGGTTTTATCTAGTTATCCTTTCGAAAATGAAAGTCTTTTAAAAATAAGCAGTTTACGATCGTGATTTTACCTTACTTGATAGAGAAAGGCATACCGGAGAGATGTGGCAACGCCGCAACAGCACACCGTTGCATTTCTCTCACTCCGACTTAATAAGATCCCTATGCGATTTACTTCCACACATGTAAATACCGACCCAAAAGTAACAGTTGCCAGCACGGTATGTGAAAAATTACCTGACTACTCTGAGCATCTGAATATTTTTTAATTGTTTTGCTGTATTAAGCTCCACAATATTTTTCTTGGCTCTTATATCGGAAGGTTGAATAATGTGTCCAGTTATTTTAATATTTCCATGTACTACCAAAGATTCATCGGGTCTGTCTGTGTTTATTCCAACTTTGCCATTGTGAAATACTGAATCCTAGAATTTAACACAATTTTTGTTATGAAACACAGTAAAAATACTTTATTTCTCTTAGTTCTTACTTGAGTTTGACCTTTTTGCCAACATAGCTCCACATCACTTTCAAACTGTCCAGGATTCGAAGCCTTAAAAAATTTAAAGACAAAAAAGTTTTAGAAAATGTATAAAAATGTCGGACTGTTCAGCCATCGTTCATCGTTACGTCATCATTATTTGCCAAATATGAGTTTTAGGGTGTGTCTGAGGACTGAGATCAGTTCATACCTTTGGTTCATACTGTTTAGAAACTTTTATAGGTACGTTCCTATATTATTGACTGAGCGAGTTCCGTTTTTTTTCGGCATTTATTCATTTTTTCTTGAAATCTTCAGTTACGATCCCTTTAATTCCAATCCTTTGAACTGTTAAAATTCCGATTTCTAAAGAATCAGAAACTCGCTATATTACTTAAAAACCAAATCAATTTTTATTTTACGCAGGAATATTACACCTTTGCATTGTACTTATTTCATATACGGCGTCCACGGGCAAAAGTGTTCTACCAGCGTCTCTTTCTCGAGAAAAATAATTTATAAGTTTAGCAATAAACTCTTGTTCATTTTGGTTAAGGCTATATTCCGTTGCAAAACCAGGCAAACCAGACCGGTAAACTACGGTAAAGAGCGGTTCCTGAAAAACATCGGTTTGATACGGAACGGTTTGGTAAAATACTGGAAACGTCAAATGTTGACGTTTTCTAAATTTCAATACCTCTATTATATAATTTACGAAATCACCAATCTCTTTGATCTGGTTGACAAGTGATTGAGAGAGTTCGACAATATATGACGTGACGTTGAATGATGGCTGAACATTCTATAGAAATATTTTTATTCTTACCCTAACAATAATTTTTTGACTAGCATGACTGACAATAGGGAAGTTTCCATTTGATGTGTGAGCATGTAGACCAACCACTAACTACAAAAAATCAAAGATATTACAAAAGATACTATTTTTTTTTCCTTTACTGCGCATGAGCGTAACCCTATCAAGAACGGTTCTGTGCCATGTTGGAACCTTTGAATAAAAAGATTAAAGAAGGGGTATAAAGGTTGATTCTCACTATACCTTCCGTTTCCATTCTATATCCGTTCCGTATTTTTTATTGTATTGACGCTATACGTAAGATTCCTTTCCATATCAGTTCCATACTTTTTATTGTACAATTTATATCATTACGAAAGTTTTATTTTAAAAATATGTATCTTTGGAAAAAGGTAATAGATTTAATTAAAAGGTGAAAGAATATCAGTAAAATGTTAGCAGAGCTGGTACAAATGTAAGAACTTGACAACGCTGTTTCCGATACAAAATGTATGGAAGGATATGGAACAGAAGGGAAACAGAACGGATATTGTGCATTGTCCTATTCATTTACATGATATAATATTTTATGTAAACGGAAGGGAAAAGGAAGGTAGCTGATAGGGAAGGTATAGTGAGAATCAACCTTAATGCTATCCGTGTATTCATGACGGATGTGGGTGCCTAGTGCCTAGGGTGGGGATCTTTGACATTTCTGTTCTCAACATCATTCATTTGACACATTTGATTTTGATTTGAAATTTTGTGGATTTGACAGTCTTTACTGAGCTTAATTTATGTTATTTATTATTTATTCTACTAGTGATAGTTGTTTTAAAGCAGTAAATCTAGAAGAACATTTTTTGTGTGGCAGAACTTAAATTAACAGTAACACTATTGTGATTTATCGAAAAAGACTGTAAAATAGTTGGTTGTGTAAGGTGCGGTAGATCTTGATCAAAAATCGAGGGAAATAATGAAATAACTTTTCAGTAGTAAGTGACTATACCGGGAGCGTCTCAAAAGTGGCTCACCTCTATAACTTTTATATTTTTCAAGTTAAGAAGACGAGATTCGGTATGATAGTATATGACATAAATTAGGATTGATTGACGTATTCAATTGTTTTCGGTCACTTCCTGTTTAGCCGGAAATGACTACAACTTTTGATTTTTAAATGGCACCCTCGGTATTTTTTACTTTATTCGATAGAAAATGACACTCTGAATCGAATGACATATCATATGTCAACTCTTGACATATTCGCTAAAAAAACAAATTGTATTTTAAATTTCAATCTAGATCTATAGTGCCATGGATGTGTTAAAAACACTAATTTTTAATAAAGGAGCCGTGGAAAAATAGATTTGATTGTCTAATGTTTTTAGTGTTTTGTCCTGGCCGGTTAAAAGATGACCAAATCGTATTTTTAATCATATCTCAATTTTTTCAAATGGAACGAGTGTGGCTCAATGTCATATTTGGAAAAAGCATTTTTTACGAATAATTTGATAGTACACACTTGGGATTTCGAGTCAAATTGTCGTTATGAACCGCAGGTTACAATTTCAAATATGCGAAAATGTCAAAAGTTGGTATATGATATGTCATTTATTCTCAGAGTGTTATTTCTATCAAATAAAGTAAAAAAATACCGAGGGTGCTAGTGTTTTAAATTTCAATCCAGGGTGTCATGGCGGTGTTAAAAACACTAAGTTTTAATCAAGGAGCCTTGGAAAAATAGTTTTGATGATCTAATATTTTTCGTGTCTTGTCTAGGCCGGTTAAAAGATGTACAAGTCGTATTTTTAATCGCATTTTTTTATGAATATATGATACCACACACTTGGTATTTTGAGTCAAATTGTCGTTATGAACCGCGTGTTACAAATTTCAATTAAACCATATGCGAACATGTCAAAAGGTGACATATGATATGTCACTCTATTCAAAGTGCCATTTTCTATCGAATAAA